TCATTATGGTTTCGTTCCTCGGAAAAAGAGGCGGTGAAATATGAATCTGTTTCTGTGTTTTGTGCTATTTTAGATCCTCTGAATCCTTTCATATGAAGTCTCAAACATACTTTTGTAATCATTTTTTATTTTATTTTTAGACTGGGGTCCGACGGCCTTTCAGATTGATAACTACTACTTTTGGGTGCCGTTATTTATGCCTACAGTTGGTGCTGTGGTTGGAGCCATTTTGTACGAGTTACTCATTGGTATCCATACGGACGAAGCAGCCCCGTATCCGGATGAACCAAAAGAATCGATTGATGAATTGAGTATATATTGAATGTGAAGATGCCTTTTCAGAATCCCTAGTATCATCCCAATATATTATCTGGATAGTAAAATGTTTCGACATATTAAAAAACAATAAAGATTATTCTTTATATGGCGTTGTTCTCATTTTTAATAAAGGTTTGGGAACTCACTTGGATGAATACGTTCATTTTCTTCTCCCTTGCTTTTGTTTCGTCTGATAAAGAGCACGTCGAAAATTCACGAGTACAAATTTAATTATTTATCATTTACTATGGGCTATCCGATAGATTCATAGAAGTATTAACGGTATGCACTGGTGAGTGCACGTAGGGCGGCTGTCTTAATCGCCAATGGCAAAAACCTGTAAGAAGTACAAAGGTAATAAAAGTACTTACTTCTAGAAACATAATGTAAATGTTCAGCTGTGGGCTTAAATATGACGCAGAACACTGTGTCTCATTTCCGGTGGATTTCAGTGGACTTAATCCGCGGTCCTGCGTGTTTCCAGCGTAAACACCTCTGCTCCAAAACACCGCCAATTATACTACGAGAACGGCGGAACAACCTTGACGGTACTTAGCCGTAGAAAGTGCGTTGCACACACGCAGCAGACATGGCTCCTCTGGCGAACTGCCGCCATCGCTACCGGGGGTTTATTCACAGAGCGCAGACAAACTACGTCTCACTGAGCACAAAGTTATCAGAGCTATAATCGCTGAAACCCTGGGCACCCTGTTGTTAGTTTTCTATGGTGATAGCGCAGGCGCCCAGAAATCCTTCGGTAAATAGTACA